CACGTCTAGGAAATTGACCATGTTTTAACTTTCGATTATCACTGCCATGTACATTTAGTCTTTGGATTTTGGTGCCAAATAAATTTGTGTTAACCACTGGGCATGTAGCTTTCGAATGTCACTTTTGTTAGGTTCGTATCCAAACTTTAGGCAGGTTATGTGTATCCTTCGATTGGCTAAACGGGGGAGCCTTTCGAATCTCAATTAGGAGGAGTTGCATTCCTACAATCGAAGGGGAGAGCTGGGCATTTTAAAATTTCAGAAACAAGTTTACCTTGTATCCAATTGAAGTTGCCTCATGAATGGATGAAACAGACCACCCCAGTGGTATAAACAGCGCGGGCGAAAAGTATTTATGTGTAGGGACCTGAGTTCAAACCTTGGCAGGACCAAAAACAATTTTTTTCCTTTTGTTTGTGTTCTTTGTATTTTTTAACAAAACTTCAAATATTTTTAAACCAATCAAAACAACTCCTTTTGAGTTGATTTTTTACACACTATTTACTTACAAGTTTTATTTCATAAATATATAAAAATATTACAAAAAATATTTTTACTTACATAATTACTTTAATTAATCAAAACCTTTCATATAAATAAAATTCAAAACAAAGTTCATCTTCTTTTCATTCCAATTTTGTACATTTATTCATATTCGATATAGTTGTAATAGATGATTAGAATTTTATTTCTTGCAACACCAATTTGTACATTTGTATCCCCATCCCCAAATGATGTAATAGCATAGTAAATTTACTTTCCGTAATTTATCGCTTTCATATAAATGCTAGTAATTAGGGTGTGTATGACAAGATTAAAACCAATGCTTAGAAAATCTTAAATTCAAGACAAAAATGCACGCAATCAAACACAGTTATACACATGCACCCCTAGGGTTAACTCCACTTGTTGCCTTGATAAAATAGTCATAATATACATGTGAGACGTTTTAGAAAAAACAATCAAAAGATCATAGTCCCTCGATGACGCTTTGAATGTTGCCTTACAAATGATCTTAGTCCCTCAAAAGAAATGCTAAGACATCTCACAACATTGATATTCATGACTATACAAACGTCCCATGCCCGTCCCTTCACATCCAATGATGGGACTTCTTACCAAATCAATGGTTAGATAGTAACATCTAAAGGTGGAAGAAAAGAATATTAAATACCTTTTGAGTAGGTAGGACGCTCCTAGTTGCTCGCTTGCTCACAACAAAAATATTTTATACATCAACACTTTCATTTTGAAACATTTTCAAAAGATAAAACTTTTTGTACGCGTTCTTATAGAAACGAGAGCCATTACAAAGACACTTTTCAAAATCACTTTCAAAAACACATTCCACAAACACCTCTTTGAATTAATTTCAAAACCAACACTTTGTACGCGTTCTTATAGAAACGAGAACCATTACAAAGACGTTTTCAAAATACTTTCAAAACTCACACCACAAGCACATTTTCAAACAAAAAGCAAGTGATCTAACAAGCAACTAAGAGCCCGTAGATAACTACGGATGAAAAGGGTTCTAATACCTTCCCTTTTCATAATCTACCCCCCGAACTCAAGAAAATATGTCAAAGGTCTTTCATGTTCTTTTCACCCTTTCCTTATTGGATAAAAGAAAAGTCGGTAGCAACTCTTGCTATCCGCAACAATTGAGATCAAACACAAAACACCCAAGTCATTTCTTCCATCGTGTTACACCTTTTTTTGTGCACGAACATAGTAGAGTAGTTGGTTAGTGATTATGATCCTTTAACACGAGGTTCTGGTACATGAGTTTGGTAACCCCTTTTATTTACCCAATTTCAAGTTGCGAGGGATCGAACCGTAGTCCTCCCTACCAAGTTCAATACTAGACACCTATGAACCAACTAACAATATATTTTTATAAAAACTCGTGTAGGTTCCACAACCGTTGGGTTAAGTGGCTGGGTGATGGTCACCTAACTTAATAGGCGCATTCCCTATTTTTATTAAGTTACAGCATGTATTTTTAGAATTTTTGGGATCTTCCACTTATATTCATCAACTCTCTATGTAGTTTATGCTTAAGATGGTGCTAACTGCTAATATAAACTACTCGGTGCTACTTAAAAACTCAAACTTAAGGTCTCAGCATAATAAGTATTCAAATTAATCATACATAACTAAGGAGTTTAAGGTGTCAAAATGGTATTTATTTTGTTGAATCTTTCTCAAATCAATCCAACATAGCCTAAGTGTAAATTAACCTATATACTCTTAAGGTGTCATGTTATGGGTCAAACCAATTTTTTTTTTGTTATGGCTCAAGAAAATTAGGGAATTAGTAAACCGCGGAAAAACACGCAGAGACCCGAAAATGCTAGAATTCGAATTGACTAACACTAAAACTAAATGAGCAAGGGGAAATAAATAAAACTACCTATAAAATGATAATAAAAGCAATAAAGCTTTCTTCCTAACACTTGAATCGAACATTGTCCTCAATGTTTCAAAATAAGGTGAAAAAGAAAGGTTAGAACCTGGAATCTCTACTACTGATGGCCTTTGCCAGGTGCTCGTTCACGACCACCAATACCAGGATGGTGAGGTGGCATACCCACATGATGAATATACTCATGTAAACCGTTGACGCATTATCAAAGCTGTCATATGGTCGATCATGCCTGAAATTCTTTGGTCACTCTTGTCACTATAGTCACTCTGATCTTGATGAATTTGCTGAATGAGGCACTGTAATACCCCAAATTTTTCCTACCTTCTCACTTTTATTTGACTTATTCATTTTGAAGTTCTCATTTCATCTGCATACCCTTCATTAGGTCATCTAACACATCATGCATCATTAATCAATAATTTGACATGGGATCGATGATATTGGGGAATTAGGGTTTCTATGGCTTTGATGGTTCTCATCTTCACTCAGGCTTGAATTAGTTGGGTTCCCATTAACTTTGGTTTATGGAACTAGGATTTAAATTCTTGATTATTGTGAACTTCTCCCCCACAAGCTACTAGGTTTTTCATCTTCATCAAGGGTTCAACTGAGAATGTTATGGGCTAGGGTTGGTTTTTTTGTAACATGTCAAGATACCTTCTTAACTCAATGTGTGTTTAAAGTAAGAAGATTAGGGTTAGTTACACATTACGTGTGAGCTTGTTAATTCATTAACATAGGTTTAGTGGATTTTGGTGCAAGAACTTCTTGGTGGCTATGCTCCTTTCTACACTTCAAGTCTTATTTTTAGCTTCAAGGATTCAAGGCAGTGGATTTTGGTGCAAGAACGTCTTGGTGGCTATGCTCCTTTCTACACTCCAAGTCTTATTTTTAGCTTCAAGGATTCAAGGCATTACTATCTCATTGGTCATCAAGTCTTGGTGGCTATGCTCCTTTCTACACTCCAAGTCTTATTTTTAGCTTCAAGGATTCAAGGCATTACTATCTCATTGGTCATCAAGTCAAGATATCTTGTGAATTGAATTACAAAATATTGGGTCATAGTACAATAAGTGAAATGGTGGAATCATTATGATCAAGGAAATTGTTGTCCTCTCAATTGCTTATTGCTTATAATGAAAATTAAGGTGGATGTGAGATTAAAGTTAGGGGTTCATTGAGAATACAAGTGTGATTTGGATTTAAAGTCCGATTTGAATTCAAGATGTTCAAAATGTTAAAGGTAGTCGATTGGATAAAATTTGGCAAAACATGTTATGATTGGTCATGTGAATCTTCTTGGGGTTCAAGTAACAAAGGCATACATCACTATGTTCATTATTCATTCAAGGCACTATTAATGATCATACAAGTATAATTCATGACATTCAAGATTTCCATCAAGGCTCATCATTATTCATTCAAAGATCCATTCATGAATTTTATTCAAGATTTAAGTTCTTCATTAAAAATCCTTTACATCACACCAAAAGAACATACATTCAAAACTCCTAAGCGTAAACCTAACTCTTCATGTCAAAACATCATACCATGACCAAGCTTCAATCTTCAATCTTCACCACCAAAAATATTTATGGAAACAACCATGCGCATACATCAAGCCCTTCATGTTATCAACTAACACAATGAACCAATTGGCACTCCAAAAATAACCAACCTGCATCAATCAAAAACATTAAACCAGTTCAGCTACATAAATCCACTTTGAACCAGTTCATGGTAGCATTGCATTCCTTAAACAAGTTCGGAGAAAAAATCCAGAACAATACATATAGCACTGCAACACAAACTCAGCTTGCACACATTCATAAAACCAGTTCTGTCAAAACTCAGAGCCAATGTTCTGCAACCAGCCCTGCAATTTTCAGAAGCAGTTAACCATACAACCTGCATTGACAGAAAAAGAGTTCAGAAAATTAACTATCAATACTCAAGCAGCCCTGCTTAAAAAACCCAAAACTGAAGTTTCACTTCAAGCCGAAATCAATCCGAACAGCAACCCTGCATCAGTATCAAACTCATAACTATTCGGTTCACCCAGACTAGTTCGCAATTCAATCATCCAGAAAATATCGGAGGGAGGATTTTATCAATGAAAATCAGTAGAAAGTGTCGCGAGAATTAAAGAAAACCGAAAAACAGCTCAACATCAATGGATGAAAATAGGGGGAAAAAACAGAACTCTTAACCGATTATGCCAGCTTAGCTTAACAAAATCAATAACTAAAAACTCACAGAAGAAGGTTGCGATGATCCATCCCAGAAAAACTCACAGAAAATTGAGAGTAACAAAAAACTCAGAACAAAGAAACTCACCGGGAAATTCTCAAGATCCTACTACAAAATTCATCATCTCCATCACTGTTTCTTCAATTCGCCGGATTCAAGACTTCAATCTTCATCATTTCAATCATAGGTTTGTAACCATTTAAACATAGCCTACTCCTCTTTCTTCACCTTTCTCATAGAAACAGTAGCAACGAATCCTGCTTCACCATCTTCTGAAATTTATTCACGCTTCATCATCATAGCCACTCCTGCATCATCATCAACACACAGTTAGAACACTAACATCACCAATCGGTAACATCAATATCATTCCGCATCGTAGCAACATCAAAATTTGACAGAAGCAAGAAAGTGAATCAAAACGAAGAAGATGAAAGGAAGAATCGCAGAAGGAGAAGTAAATCGCTGAAGTAATAGATCGATCACATGATTTATCTCTGTATATCCCTAGCCAGTATCCCATATGCCACCGTTTTGATTTACGGTTTTATTCTTTTCAATTTTTGTATTATTGATAGGAAATAATAAAATCTGAACAAAATAAAAGAATTACATCATGTTGTGATATTGTGTGGGCCTAGCTACATCCCCTTTAGGCCCATTGATTTTTTTTGTGTAGTTTGAGAGCTTTGCAACGAAAAACATAATACTAGATTCATTTGGTTAGGCCCATTCACTGTTTTTTGAATTAAATCTTGGCTAATCCAAAAAAGATCTTCTTGGAGTCATTCTACATTGAGCTCAACACCGATTTGCTTCAGCACACATATTTCCAGACTTGCACCCCCTACTCTTCTAAGTTTTTTTTTATTTTAGTTTTTATTCTAGTTTAATTTTTTTTATCTTAATTGATAATTAAAATGATACGAAAATATTAAAACATTCTAGAATTCTTCAGGACCTCTGTTTAGAATTTTCATTAGAGTTTTCTATTATTTTCATGTTCGATAATCATTTTCTTTGTCATTTTTTAGCTAAAATTTTTTGATAGAATGTTGATGTAACTTTCACAATATGGAATGCTTGGAGATTAGTTTGTTTAATCACTTGCGAGAAGAAGCTTTTGTAGAGTTTTCTTATCGCTTGCATGGTTTTGAAGAGGCAGTAGACCTTCTTCGTTCGGTATCATCGTGACCTTATTTTATTCATTATTTTCGCACTTTATTGCTTTATGATGCCATGATATGTAGTGTAGAGATGTATGATGGGGGTCTCCGTTGCTGATCATGTGAGGAACCCATCTAGTTTATTTAAAGGCCCGTTTAGGGCACTTCCACATTGTTTGCCAATATGTGCTACCTGTGTGTAGTTTGTTTAAAACCCTACCTTTGTGTAGGTATTCTGCACGTTTGTTTACATTTGTGCCCGCATTATTCCCACATTTCTTATTAAAGTCCTCAAAAGGAGGAGAGCGGGAAGGGGTTAGCGATCAAATCCTACAATTTTGTCTGTGTCATCCTTAGCTCGTGATGCACCATGATGCTTCATAGTTGTGCCTACTCTTGTTATCGAGTTGTCAAGTGGAAAATGGTTTCTCAATTAAACCCCCGCACTTTGTCAGGAGTTCTCATTGGCCGATGCTGACACTACTTGATTGTTCATATTGCCTTCTGTCGCCTACCTTGATCTTCTATATCTTGGTTAGGTGTTCAGTCGTTTTGGACATCACCTTTTTATTTTACATCCTACTCCCGCTTGTTTGTCTCGGGTGATACGCTCCCCTTAGCTAAACCATTTCACTTCTTTTCCTTACTATTTTATGTGTGTGCTCTTTCGAGCTTTCTTGTTTTATCCTTGTACATACCATGTTCCCTTAGGATGTACTTGTTCCTTTCGGATGCAAGTTAGACCTTAGGTTGTGAACCATGCATGCTAACATTATATGGATATTTCACTTTCATCCTTGATGTAGGGCTACCATTGTATGATAACATTAGATTTGAAAATAGGTCAGTCTCCCGTAGACTCTTTTCTTCCCCCTTTTGCATATGCATTTAAAACTAAAACTTATTTTTCTTAATAAATCATAAAACATGCTAATCACACTTAAACCCTTTTTCAAAGTAATCAAAACACAAATAAATCAAATGTGGTATCTTGCCTTGAGGGCGTAACTCAAGACCATTTTTAGTAAGGACATGATTAATTTACTTCTGTGCCAACGCGTGAGTCTCCAAAGGTCGAGCTGCGGTAGAAGGTGGAATTAACATTGTTCATAAAAAATACAAAATAAACAAAACATGTGAGCCGAACTACAATAACTCTGATTCCTTAAAAAGGATACGTAGGAATTGGGGTAGGGCCCAAGCGAGCACAACTTTATTTTCCCTAAATTATTTTCTCTTTTCTTTTGCATGCATTCCTCCTCAGTAATAAGAAGTAAACATAGAATAAACATACCCATAAGATAGATAACAAGAGTGGATATTGTAGAATACTACGGGTGTATAGGTTGCTAATACCTTCCCCTCGTGTAACAGACTCCCTTCCCCGATCTCTCAGTCGCAAGACCGTTGCGACAAGGAAAAACGACACTCTTGAATGCTTTATTTTGGACCATCAGATGATATTTTCCATCTTCTCTAACTTAAATATGGTGTGATGATCGATAATTGTCGATCTCAAGGTACAAGGTTGGTATTGATGGAAAATCAATGAGTTTGTCGTCTAGGCCCAAGGCAAGAGCGATGGATGTGACTATCCCCCCTATATACAAAGGGTTGGTTCCTCTTGCATAAATGGAATGAATGTGTGCCAACAAAAATGGAGTGGCGTTGATTCTGGTCGGTGCAAAGATACAAAGCAGAAAAAACAACTCTTTAGAATTAACCTTGTGGTTGTTAATCCTGCCAAAAATGGTGCTTGCCAGAATGCAATGAAAGTAGCTTATGCCTAGATTGTGGATTAGGGAGGCATTAAGTCCTTCCTAATTTAGAGTAATCTCACCTGTTAACTTTTCCCAAAGACCAAATGCCACAGTCTGCCATTCCGCTTTGAAAGGAACTCTACAGGCGACATCTTTTCCATGCAAAAAATGTAACATATCACCTATGGTATCTTGGCTCAATGAGTATTCTTTGTTGAATAGCCTAAACCTAGTGATTCTGATGTTTCGGTGAGATACATTTCTTCCATAGGGGTGTCATAAATAAATGAACTCAAGAACTCCAGAGTTATAGGTTCATAAGTAGGGTGGTTTAACAAACAAATGTGAGTTAAACTTGAATTATTCAGCATCCATTGAACACTATCTAAGAGCCTTAATTCATGTAAATAGGACTCATCCATGTACCTTTTAGGGATGACATAATATTGGTAGTACATAAGGTTCTTCTCCCTTTGTAAGCCGGAATCCTCAGTGCGGAAAAGGATTGTTGATAGATTTGGTGATGATCTTGCCCTTCTGTTTGGTTGTTGAGTGAAATGAGACATGATGAATAAAATATGTTGAGAAGGAAATGGTTTATTTATCTTAGGTTAGTGTGATTAGAGAGGTATGATATGTAGAGCAATTTACGAAATTTAAAGGGTGAAAGGAAATTGGAATGTGAAACGTGAGTGGGTGTTAATGGGCGTCAAGTGGAATTTGGAAAGGGTTGAAAAAGGAAGAGAGTGGGTCGACTGGAAGAAGAAGAGGGAAATGAGGAGTGTCTCATAAAAAAACTCATGTTTCTATTCGGGAAAAGTGTGGCAAGGGCCACAAAACCATGGCGAGGGCCACAGACCTGTGGCGAGCGCCACATGTTTAAAACCTGAATAGTCTAGAATGTTTAAACATGTTTCAACTGTAAAACATTCTTCATGCAGCCAATAGCAGAAAAATGGAAAAACATAAAATAAAATAATAAAATACCAGAAGTAAAATTAAATACGGAAAATTGAAAATTTCTACTATAACATAAGAATGCTGGAAAATTTACAAAATAGCCAAAAAACATCATATATAATGTAGAAAACATGTAGATCCTAATTTAAGAAAGCAGTACTATCCAGAAGAATCATCCAATAGATCCAAGATAAGGAAAAACAGAATAAATATGTTGATAGATCACTACGCCAAAAATTAAAAATAACAGCGCGTCATAGACATCACTCATTTCAGAAAGCGGTGCTATAAGTTAAAAAATTAAAACTATAAACTAAATTAATAAAAAGCATTGCTAAAGGGCATAGAAAAGAAAGCGCTTTCTTGAAAGCGCTGCTATAGGGCATAGATTCGAAAGCGCTTTCTAAAAGCGCTGCTATAGGGCACAAATAAGAAAGCGCTTTCTGAAAATACTGTAAAAATAAAAAATAACAGCGCACTATAGACATCGCTCATTTCAGGAAGCGCTACTATAAGTTAAAAAATTAAAACTATAAACTAAATTAATAAAGAGCGCTGCTAAAGGGAATAGAAAAGAAAGCGCTTTCTTGAAAGCGCTGGTATAGGGCATAGATATGAAAGTGCGTTTAGAAAAGAAAGCGATTTTATCATTAAAAGCACTGGTAATGCCTATACTTTAGGCAGCGCTTTTTGAAAGCGTTGCCTTTTCAAAATTCTAAAATTAAGACTCTTAAACCCTAAAATAACAAAACACGACTCTTTCTGCTACTCACCTCCATCTCTCAATAGTTCTCAATGATTTCACGATGTTCACCTCTGTTCACCGCCATTCGACTTTCGTTCACCACCGTTCAACCTCTGTTTGACCTCTGTTCTCAGCGATTTCACATCATCTTCATCTTCTCGACCTTGATTATCATCGTCTTCATCTTCTCGACCTTCACCATCATCGTCTTCGGACTTCTCGACGTCGTTGTACGGTAAATTTCTTCCTCAAATTTCTTCACCATGAATGTTTATTTTTAATTTAGTTCAATAGATGTTAGTTTCATACACATACGCAATACATATTTTAGGAATCATCTGTATTGAAAAGTGAACAATACCCAAACCCTTTTAGTGTGTGCTTGAGTTAAACTTTTTACTACAAGTATAGGAGTAACAGGAATTGATTTTGATCATTTAGAGGCATACAATGTCATAAACCAACAATTCAAGAAGCTTTAGTTATTAGATGAATAAATACAAATGGGTAGGGTTTTATATAGTATATTTATAACAAAAAAACCATCAAGATAGATTTGTGCTAATGCTTACCATATCTAAGTGCCTTTGGAAACATGAAAACCAGCAGCAATAAGTGCTCTTTCAAATTGATTAGGAGAATTAATTATGCGTGAATCAATTGTTAGTGTCATCTTTAAATTATTGACTCTTACATAATATGTTTGAGTTTTCTCAGATTGTAGGCATTGGCTTTTGGTATCTTATATATTCACTTTTGCAATATTCTCATTTGAGATTCATTTTGTATCCAGGTTACAAATTTTGGAGACAAAATTATACTTGAAGACCTTTGATTTTGAATTAAGTTGGTTGGACAAGTCAAAATTCTTGTTTTACACTAAGGTTAGATA